TCAGCTGATCCCCCACCTTAACCTCCCAAAGTGCTGGGATTACAGGCGTGAGCCAATTTGCCCTTGGCCATTCCTTCAAATCTTAAAGGGAATCCAGATGCACCCCTGTCAAGGGTATATGGGTTTTTTTCTGCTATAATGGAAAATATGGGAATGTTTCCCCCACTGTGTGTTCCCCACATTGAAAATTTTAGAAGATGCATATTTTTCTGATGTTTTCAAACCTCTGTCACCTGCATCTATAAATAAGTTCACATTTACACGTATTCTCCTTTTTTTTTCTAGATAATTATTTCTACCTGTCCTTGCAGAACGTTACTCAGTGACCCGCTTCCCTGGTGGCATCCCAGAGGGTTTCATAAATAGAGTAATGCATGCAGGATACTGCACTGTCCTGCTTCTGCCTGAGATGCTTTCAAAACTACAACATCTTGGTTGGGTGTGGTGGTTCACACCTGTAATCTCAGCACTTTGGGAGGCCAAAGCAGAGGATCTCTTGAGTGCACCAGTTCAAGACTAGTGCAGGCAATATAGTGAGGCCTCGTCTCCACAAAAAAACTTTAAAAATTAGCTGGGCATGGTGGCACACACCTATAATCCCAGCTACTCAGTGGGCTCCACCAGGAGCCAGAGGCTGCAGTGAGCTTTGATGAGCCATTGTACTCCAACCTGGGTGGCAGAGTGAGACCCCGTCTCAGGAAAAAAAAAAAAAAAGTTGAAGGGAGCTGCCTTGCCCCTTGCACCATGTAGGATGTAGTAAGCCCTCATCAGACACTGAACCTCCTGGCACCCTGATCTTAGACTTCCCAGCCCCTAGAACTAAGAGCCATAAATTTCTGCTGTTTATAAATTACCCAGTCCAAGGTTTTTTGTTATAGTAGCCTGAATGGACTATGACAATACATTATGTTCTTTTTTGGACTGTAGCATTCATAAACTCCTTGGAGATGACCATGCTGGATCTCTCTCCAGCAATTCTCCCTGGGCAGATATACTGTGACTTCTTCCTCACCTCTACATATCTAGCATTCACCGACAGCTTCCTGCCCATCCAGGCAGCCTTACTGGACCAGATCCAAGGGAACTGTCTCCTGCACAATCCATATCTTATCCATGGGAAACACAAATGCATCCTGGGACCCCTCTGCATGTATGGACTGACAGCCACACTACCTGCCTTTTTCAGGTGGGAGGTAAATGACAGACCAGAGAGTCTCCATGTGCACCAACATCCCTGACAAGCTCCCCAAATGACTGGAAGCCTGTAGGCAGGAAGTGAAGGAAACGGGCTGCCCGAAGCTTCCCTCAGTGGGGAGGAGGTAAACTCAGACTCACAGCACAGCAAAAGCTCTATCAGAGGTTTCTTTTTTCTTTCCTTTCCTTTTTTTTTTTTTTTGAGACAGAGTCTTGCTCTTGTCGCCCAGGCTGGAGTCCAATGGTGTGATCTCAGCTCACTGTAACCTCTGCCTCTCGGGTTCAAGCGATTCTCCTGCCTCAGCCTCCCAAGTAGCTGGGATTACAGGCAGGTGCCACCATGCCCAGCTAAATTACTTTTTGTATTTTTAGTAGAGATGGGTTTTCACCATGTTAGCCAGACTGGTCTTGGACTCCTGACCTCAGGTGATCTGCCCACCTCAGCCTCCCAAACTGCTGGGATTACAGGCATGAGCCACCATGCCCAGCCCTTTTTTCTTTTTTTGAGACAGAGTCTCTCTGTCGCCCAGGCTGGAGTGAAATGGGGAGATCTCAGCTCACTGCAACCTCTGCCATTCTGGTTCAAGCGATTCTCCTGCATCAGCGCCTGAGTAGCTGGGACTACAGGTATGCCCCACAGTGCCCAGATAATTTTTGTATTTCTAGTAGAGACGGGGTTTCACCATGTTGCCCAGGCTGACCTCAAACTCCTGACCTCAAGTGATCCACCTGCCTCAGCCTCCCAAAGTGCTGGGATTACAGGCATGAGCCACCACACCTGGCCTCCATCAGAGATTTCTTTACCCAACCCTCCTTTCACTCTTCAATTCCTTTTTATTTATTTATTTGATTTTTTAACTTTTATTTATTTACTTTGAGACAGAGTGAGTTTCATTTTGTCAGGCTGGCGTGTATTGGTGCAATCTTGGCTCACCGCAACCTCTGTCTCCCGGGTTCAAGTGATTCTCATGCCTCAGCCTCCCTCCCAGCTTAGCTGGGATTACAGGCACATGCCACCATACCTGGCTATCTTTTGTATTTTTAGTAGAGACAGCGTCTTGATATGAGGCCCAGGCTGGCCTCAAGCAACCTGTCCGCCTAGGCCTCCCAAAGTGCTGGAATTACAGGTGGTTCCACCTGATTCCTTTTTATATCCTTGGATATCTGTTCCTAGAATTTCACATTCGTGTATCTTGTCCAAATCAAAATCTATACTTTCATATCTTGTTACACATGGGGAAAAAGAGCTGAGAGAACGACAACAGAATGGAGCTGGAGACTTAATACACTTCCTGACTATTAATCTGTTTGGGTAGGGTTTCTGTCACCTGCGGCCTACAGCAGTCTTACTGCCCCCTAACCTCCCACAAAGTTCTTCAGGTTGAAGAGGGTTGCCACTTTGTAGAACGGGAAGCTTTTACTCAAAAAGTAGAAACTGAATACAAAACCAGACTTTAGAAGGATAAGATAAATTAATGCATTCATAACACATCATTACAAAAAAGTGAGGGGGTTAGAGGTCTTAAACTCTGCTCTCAAGGGCATAGGGGGCCCCTCTCACGGACTTTCCCAGAGCTCCTCTGGGTGTACTGGTCTGACTCAGCAAGTGAACATCTGTGGTTTTGCCTAGCCAGCATCCCTTCTCCTAGCAGCAGCAGTCAGCATGCCTTTTTGGGGAATCACTCTTTCCTCTTGTGGTTTATTTCAAGTGACTACACATTCAGACCCCAGAGTTTGGCTTATGTCCTAGGCCTTGCCAGTGAAAATATGGTACCTCTCTAGTGGCAGTTATTTTTCTGAAAAAGGACATATCATGGGCCAAGGGTCAGCAGCAGGGAGGGGTGGATAGAAGAGACAGATAATAAACAATAAGCTAAATAAACGAATAAATTCAATCAGGAGCTAAATAAATAAGTCAGGAGCAGGGCAGGTGGCAATTTTGAATGGAGTGGTCAGGGTAGTTCTCAATGAGGCAGGATTTGAGCAAAGATCAGTAAGCATGAGAAGTAGTCATGCATTCCAAACAGAGGCAAGCCCATGCAAAGACCCTGCAGCAAAGCCCTGTCTGCCTTGGGCAAAAAGTAGCATGGAGGGGACAGGTGTGTTGGCTCACGCCTGTAATCCCAGCACTTTGGGAGGCCAAGGCGGGCAGATCACCTGAGGTCAGGAGTTTGAGAACAGTCTGGCCAACATGGTGAAACCTCGTCTCTATTAAAAATACAAGAAAATTAGCTGGGTGTGGTGGTGCATGCCTGTAATCCCAGCTACTCGGGAGGCTGAGGCAGGAGAATTACTTGAACCCAGGAGGCAGAGGTTGCAGTGAGCCGAGGTCGTGCCACTGCACTCCATCATGGGCGGCAGAGCGAGACTACATCTCCAAAGAAAAAAGAAATAGCACCGAGGCCAGAGTGACTGGAGCAGAGCGAGGCAGTAGGGAGGCAGTAGCAGATGAGGCTGCAGAGGTAACAGAGGAGCGATCACGCAGGGCTTTGGCTTTTACTCTGAGTTTGGGAAACCACTGGGAAGGTTTCGAGCAGAAGAGGAATTTGACTTGGCTTTCTTTGGGTCACTCTGGCTGCTGTATGGGGACAGACTGCAGGGAGATCAGGGAAGAGACCACTATCATGACCAAGGTGGGAGATGATGGAGGCAGAGGTAAGAAGTGGTCAGGGTCTGAGTATGCTAGGGAGGTCCAACCAACAAAATTTTTGGGCCCTGGAGGCGAAATGTGAGAGAAAGTTGAGTGCCGGGTAACAGCAAGGTTTCTGGCCTTAACACCTGGAAGACAGAGTTGCCATTGAGACGGTGATGTTATGGGGAAGACATCAAGGGCACCGATTTGGATGTGTTGAGATCGAAATTTATTTTAGAGATCCAAGAGGAGGTATTAACTAGGCATCTGGATAGAGAAGCATGGAGTTCAGGAGACAAGCCCCGCCTGGAGATAAATTCGAAGCCATGCCTTCTCTCTCTGCACCCAACAAAACCTCACTTAAACAGGCTTGTCAGGTCATGGAATAAAGTACAAGAACTTTTTTTGGAGGGCGAAATGCCGGTCAACCTTACCAGTCAGAACGCTGCTTTTAAGATCAAAGAGATCTCTGTTCTTCAGCCTAATCCACCCCTCTCCCTAGTTTCTCCCCCAGCCCTGCTAGGCTAGAAGCTCCCTGGCTTTTACTACGTCAGGATCCCCAACAAGCCCATTCCCAGGAGGATAAGAGCCCAGGCAGTTCCCTAGGACACCGTTCACTTCCTAGCTACCCAAGAGCAGGACACCAGCCTCCTGGAATATTCACTCCGCTCCTCACAATTACACGAAGAACTCAAGTAAGCCTCGGCGTCGGGTCAGTCGGGCCGGGGCCACTAATACCAAAGGGACCCAGTGGGTTCTACGTGGTAAGTGGGGGGCGGATAAGAAGGATGCGACACCCCCACGCCGGGGCCAGGCACACCGTGAGGGGCTCGGCCACTTCCTTACGCCCTCCGATCGGCGAGCACCTACCACCCACTCTCGCCACCAAGCTGGGTGCAGAGAACAGGGCAGGCGCACGGACGGTTCTCACGGCCCCAGGCGCCAGGCCCAGGGCGCAGAGGCCCGCATCTCACTTGCGAACGCGCGAGGCCGGGCCCCTCCCTCCCCTTCGCGTCCTCTCCCTTCCCCTCCACCTCCCGTCCCCTCCCGGTCCCCGCCACCCAGCCGGGCAGCCAATCGGAGCTGGGATCCCGCCCCGGTCCGCAAAGCCGGCGACGCCCGGAGGCTGCACGGAGAGCGGTGCACCGGTCAGGTGAGGTGCGCGCGAGGAACGGGGGTCGCACGCGGGGGAGCGGGGGTCGCGCGCGGCTTCCATAGAGCGCTCGGCCTGAGCTCGAAGCCCCAGGCCCGCGGGAGGCCCGGGCCCGCGCAGCCAGAGCCGGGACGCAGCCTAGGCGCCGCCCGCCCCGCCCAGCCCGGGCCCGGCGCGAGGACGCGGTCAGAGGCCCCGCGGCCCGGATCCGGACGAGGGGCTTTCTCAAATACACAAAAGACAGTCTCAAAAATTAAGTCTCCATTTCTGTTAAGACTGCCGGTGGCTGCGGTTTTTATGTAGACCCAGGCGGGCAGGCTCGGCGTCCGCGTGCCGCGCAGTCCGGCGGCTCCGGGAGCGCGAGCGGCTGGGCCCGGGCGTCGCCACCGCGGGGCCGCGAGCTCCGCCGGGACCTGCCCCGGATGCCCTGAGGTCCGCTCCGCGGGGACGAACCCTGTGGCGCCGCGCAGGCACTTGGCCTCTCCTAGCTCCGCTTTCCTCTTTGGAAACTGGAAACTATCACTTACTTCGTTTACGGAGTGAGGATTACACGACAGTGTTCTGTAAAGTGCACTCTACATATGAAGTGCTCAGAAATAGGGCTAATAATTAGGGTATTTGTAAACTACTTAAATTATAAAAAGGATTTGCAGCATCAGAGTTACAGTTTTGGATACTAATTTTTTTCACTTAACGCTCGTTATATGATAGGAGTTTTCCATCCTATTATACCGCTGTGCGATCTAATCTTGGTGCCTCAATTTTCTCACCTGTAAAAGTGGGGATAATCATAATGCTTACTTGGTTAAATGGCCCTGAAGAATAAATGACTTAGCGAGCATAAATAGCTTACAATAGGGTTTTCAGCATGGGAAGGATTCAGTAAATGTTGTTAGTCATAATCACCACCTACAAAGCAAGCAATACTGTGCTGAAATTTTTTCATCATTAATGTAGCTCCTATAGTACGATTTCCAGGAAGTTATTTAAATTATGGAAATAAAGGTATTGGTATATTGCTAATTATTTCCCAAAACATTGTATTGATAAATATGCTCATCCTTCCCTTAATGTTATGCACTCCATAAAAATACAAACTTAAGTCAAATATTAGACAAAGTATCAGACAGATTGTGTAGCCAGAGAGCTAAAAATTACGAAAGGTGCTCTAATTATACTTGAACTTTTAGAAATAATTCTTAGTGTGTTTTCCCACATTTCATATGTGATCTTTACTTTTTTACTCTCTGTACCCGCTGCCTACCCAGTTAGCATCTGATTAAAGTCAAAGATCTGCAACTTTGGACCACATTTATTAATTTTCATCTCTGTCCTAATTGTTTTTCCCTTTTGATCTACACTGCTTATTACTCCCAGTCATTTTTTACAGAACTGAAAATCTGGTAAAACACTCAGAATTGCATGGGCTTCTATGTAGAGGTGACACTCCACCAGTGCCATGGGCTGGCAGGGAATCACAGTGGCAGCATTTTTATTCCTGATTCTCCTTGGCATATCCAGGACTCTGATAACATGATCGTATATATGTATCAGTAGTAACAGGTTGGGCCATTTTTTTTTGTCATAAATCATATAAGATTTAGAAACAAGTTGATAGTCATATATTTTGGAATTTGAAAAAGACATTTCATTACTCAGCTTCAAATTAAGCTTTAATCAAATAGTAAAACTTTTCATTAATGGACAGTGTATACCTTTTTGTTTATTTAAAAGAAAAAACACTGAATATAGTCCCTTTGTGACAGGGGAGCTTAGTTCCTGACAATGTTCTCTTGAGTCTTTTTTTTTTTTTTTTTTTTTGAGGTGGGGTCTTTCTCTTTTACCCCAAACGGGGTGCGGTTTTGTGGTTTCTGCTCACTGCCACCTCCGCCTCCCTGGTTCAAGCAAGCTCCCACCTCAGCCTCCCAAGTAGCTGGGATTACAGGTGCATGCCACCATGCCCAGCTAATTTTTGTATTTTTTTAGTAGAGACATGGTTTCACTATGTTGGCCAGTCTGGTCTCAAACTCCTGACCTTGTGATCTGCCCACCTCGGCCTCCCAAAGGAGTCCTTTTTTTTTTGGCAGAGTCTCCTATGTGGTTCAGACTGGAGCGCAGCAGCACCATCTCGGCTCACTGCAACCTCTGCCTCCTGGGTTCAAGTGATTCTCATTCCTCGGCTTCCTGAGTAGCTGAGGTTACACCACCATATCCAGCTAATTTATATATTTATTTATTTACACATATATGTATATATATATATATATATATTCCCCCCCCCCGGAGACAGAGTCTTGCTCTTGTCGCCCAGGCCGGAGTGCAGTGGCACAATCTTGACTCACTGCAACATCCGCCTCCCGGGTTCAAGTGATTCTCCTGCTTCAGCCTCCCTAGTAGCTGGGATCATAGGTCTGTGCCACCACACCTGCTAATTTTTGTATTTCTAGTAGAGACGGGGTTTCACCATGTTGGCCAGGCTGGTCTCGAACTCCAGACCTCAAGAAATCCACCCACCTCAACCACCCAAAGTGCTGGGATTACAGGCGTGAGCCACTTCACCCAGCCTCTGTTGAGTCTTTCAGCTATGAGCAAATAGCTACGTTCTATGAGCTGCTAGATCTGCCTTGGTCAGAAACCAAGGTTGAACTCTCAGGAACAGTGATATATATACACACTGATATTTCAAAAGTACAGTGCCCCAAATTGTTCCACAAAGGAATTAAGGTCATTTGCAACAAAATCACATTGAATAGTAACAAATAAATAGAAGATAAATATGACCAGGAATTGAGATGAGAGAAAGTATAAGTACAATAAATTAGTCCAAGGGAAAAAAGAATAAAGTGCCATCCAATAGAATTTTCTGTGATTATGAAAATATGCTCTATTTAATTAATTTACATTTCAATAGCCATTCTGTCTAGCTGCTCCCTTATAGGTCAGTGCAGGCCTGTATTTTTGTAGTTGAGTCCCAAATTTGTTTCTAGAAAGATAAACTTGGTCAGTTACATGGTTCTTATCATTTGAAAGTAAAACATACATAGCTACTTCATTCATTCATTCATTGATCCCCCAAAGGTTAATGGCCTTGAAGGAAGCAGAGCCTTTCCTGAATCTCAACTATAGGGAAAATTTTCTTGGACTTCATTATCAGAGCACCTTGATATGTTATTGCCCTGTGAAAGTTTGTTTAATTAAGGAATTGGGGCCAGGAGGGATGCAGTCAGTGAATGTGGCATAATTTGTAATGTTTTTTAGAGTTTTGAATAATTATGCTAACCTTTATAGAGGAGTTTAAAGTATACAGGAAAGCAAAAAGAAAGTAAGTCACTAAAAGTTCCACCACTCAGAGATATAATTACTGTTAATATTTTGATGTATATATTTCCAGACGTGTCTCTTTTTAGGTGCTACAGGATTTCTTTAGGTTTTTGTTTGTTTTCTGTCCACCCTATTTCAGTTCATGTGTGCTGTCTGTTGTGCTAAAACAAATATTCGCTGATGCCTTAGTAAATCGTTGGATATCTTATTTACCTCGCACTTGCACGTATGATTTTTTCTTCTAACTTAGCTGTTTCTCTTTTACAAATTCAGAAAACCTGTTTCTCTTTTACAAATTCAGAAAACCTCAGACTTTGAAAAGGCCTTGAAGTTCCTCACCTGAAATCTGAGAACCTGGAGCACCTTAAAAAAATCTGAGGGAAAACAAAAGAGTGAAAGAACCTGATACAGTCAGTGTAGAGAATACAATTTTTCATGTAATTCATATTGAGGATGCAGATAACACATTGTGAAATCTTGCTTGTAAAAAATCTTGGTCTGCTGAAGAAAGATGTTCTCTCTAGGGATCTTTGAAAGCATAATTATTGAGCTATTAAAATGTTAGACACAAAAGTTAGACCCACACATATTTTGGCTGTGTGGAAGATTTGTAGTCCTTCACCTGCCCACCCCGCACTTGTGAGTTGTGCCTGTGTAGGCAGTACCTGTAGCACTCGGCTGGGCAGAACTCGTCTTTCAGCAATAAGGGAGCATAGTTAGGACCTGGACCTTCTGGGGGCGGTCCATGCCCAAGAACTCCAGAAAAGTCCTGCTGTCAACCCAATTTTGAAATTGAGTTGCACATTGTTCTACAAATATTTGAGTTAATAAGCAGCTCTTTTCAAACATGATTATGCCCTTCTAAGTTTAAATACGGTAGGCTTTAGTGAAAGTAATTGACCTCATTTCAGTAAAAGGTAGAAGCTTTCGAAGTGGTCAGGAGGAGGAAGATAAGAGACATAGAGCAGATGGGGGCGGGTGGAAAGGTGGGGTGAGGAAGAGACTGGCTTCTCTTTGGCAGAGTGCCAAGGAAAAGCTCTGGCACTTTTGTGCCTGGGGCCTTGATGACTGCAACCTGAGCCTCAACCTAGTTTCCCTGCAGAGCCAGAAGAGAAGCTAAAAACCTTCAGTTAACCAAGCCAGACACCAAGAAAGTTAAACTGAAAGAGAACCTCCCCCCAAAAAAGAAGTAAAGTGGGTTAAAGTGATAGCATGTTAGCACAGAAAAAGAACCTAAGGGCCATCTAAGTTCATCTGCCCCCTCTCCTATTTCAAGGTGCAGAAACTAAGGCACAAGGGACCACATGCCCTACTCTTGATCACACGACTAGTGGGTGCCAAGCGAGGTCTGGAACTCTGGGGTCACAGGCTGGCTCTTCATCCCTTAGAAAGACAGCTCATCTCTGTGCACCGGAATCCATTGTGTTTTGGGGTCAAAGCAAATAAAGGCTCAAACTCCAAGACTGTTATGCAGACCAGCTGCAGTAGATAATAGTGGGGAGGAGAAACCTGCTTTAAATTGCTTTAAGCAAGTTGCTTCTACAAAGGTGTTGACTTTTTTCTTTCAACTTCCTGTGAGCCACTGCAGCCTGAGCTGTTGTCATTATGCAATAATTCAGGAACTAACTCAAGATTCTTCTTTTAAAATTATTTGTTTATTTAGAGACCCAAGCTGGAGTGCAGTGGTGTGATCTCAGCTTACTGCAACCTCTGCCCACCCCCCGCCGCACCCCCCCACCTTGACCCCCCCCACCTGCCTTCAAGTGATTCTCATGTCTCAGCCTCCCGAACAGCTGGTATTACAGGGTCATGCCACCACCCCTCTTGCTAATTTTTGTAATTTTAGTAGAAACAGCGTTTCACCATGTTGCCTAGGCTGATCTTGAACTCCTGGCCTCAAGTGATCTGCCCACCTCGGCCTCCCAAAGGCAGGAGCCTCCTCACCCAGCCTATTTATTTATTTTTAAAGTGGCTGCTCCTAGAAAGGCATACCATGTTTCTAGATGGGAAGGCTTATTAATTCACCCTAATTTCATATATAAATTTGATGCAATCATAGTCACAGTCCCACTGGAATTTTTTAACTTGATAAGATGTCCTAAAATTAATATGGAGGTCTAGGCAAGTAAGAATATATAGTAATACTGAACAAGATTAATGAGAGAACTTGAATTACTGTAAAGCCATAATAATGTAAACAGTATGTTATAAGCATGGTAATCGAGGTCTGTGGCACAGCAGAAAAAGTGAAAAAAGAACAACTGTATTCATAAAAATTTAAGTGTGGAGTCACTGGGGGAAAGGATGAAATGGTCAATAAATAATGTAGAAACAACTCAATTATTTGGCGAAATGTAAAGTTACAGCCTTATCTCATGCCATTCCAAAATACTATTTAGATTTGATTTAAAATATATATAGATAAAGAAAGAAAAGTTAAGGCCAGGCACGGTGCCTCACACCTGTAATCCCAGCACTTTGGGAGGCCGAGGCGACTGGATCACCTTAGGTCAGGAGTTCAAGACCAGCCTGGCCAACACGGCAATACCCTGCTTCTATTAAAAATATAAAAATGAGTTGGACATGATGGCATGTGCCTGTAATCCCAGCTACTCAGGAGGCTAAGCCGGGAGAATGGCTTGAATCCGGGAGGCAGAGGTTGCAGTGAGCCAAGATTGTACCACTGCACTCCAACCTGGGTGACAAGACAAGAAACTCCATTTCAAAAGAAAAAAAGAAAAGTTAAAAAATCTAAAAGGAAATAAAAATATATCTATTTAAGTCTTTTGGGAAAATCTTTCTCAACATAATACTAAAAGTTAGAAAACAGAATGTTTTTGTGTTTGACCATTTAAATACTAAACCTTTGAAATTTAAATAAAAAAAGAAAAACTAAACAAAAACCTTTTTGTTATAGGATTAGGTCTTAGATATTTTCAGATATATTAAAATACAGAATAAAGTTCCTCCTGGATTCTGTTCAGAGTTTAACTGGTCTTGGCCAGATGATGGGGAGGAAAGGAGAGGGAGCTGTGTGATGGGCAGGCGGAGGGCGGGAAGGTGGAGACAGATCTCGCCTGGCCTGTGTTGCTGCCTCTCCTGACAGTGCATCTTATAATAAGGGGGAGTTGAAAGCAGAAGGGGAAATAGCACAGAAAGGATACATCTGGCCTTTGCAGTTTTGTGACCATGGCAGGTCCTGCCAGTCACTCAAAGCTCTGTAAGCAACTAGCTAGGGTACCCCATCTGAATGTGTTTTTAAAACAGCAATGTGGTCAGGTGCAATGACTCATGCCTGCAATCTCAGAACTTTGGGAGGCTGAGGCAGGAGGATCACCTGAGCCCAGGAGTTTGAGGTTGCAGTGAGCTGTGATCATGTGTGCCACTGCATTCCAGTCTGGGTCAAGAGTGAATTCCTGTTCCTGAAACATAAACAAACAGCAATGCAATTTATTGTAGGTGGCACACCCCTGATGCCCAGTGTAGTTCTGGGTGGGCTTCTTTCTCATGCATATGCACCTCTCCACATCTTTTGTTTGTTGGTTTTCTTTTGTTTGCCTTCCCCAGATTATGTAGGGAAACAATAAAGTTTATATGTAATGTTTTGTAGACCACTTCTAAAGGAAAGCTTTCCTCTAAGTTCTCATTAGAAAGGGAAAGCAAGCAATAGCGAAATTTCTACAAGGTCCAAGGATTCAGGGCAGTTTCTTCTGAATGTAGTTTGGGGGCTGGAGACAGAAACAGGAAGCAGTAGAATTGCTAGGTCAGATTGGAATTTTGATAGCTATTGCTACACTGCCTTCCACAGCGATGCTACCCACTTGTCCCCCAATAATGTCAGAGTGTATTCCTGACCACACTTTAAGCAGCACACTCTGGCAAACATTTTGATCTGTCAGTCGGATACGCCTTCTTGCTGTAATCCTAATTTACATTCTGTGATCATGACTGAGAGTTATCTGAATTTCCTTTTCTGGGAACCAGAGAGCAAGTTACAGCTGGAGCAGATCTTAGAGATGAAGTCTAGCCATTTAGCCTACAGCTGAGAAACCCGTTTTGACCATCGTAGTTGCTTGGGTAGTTCAGGACTGACAGGACTGGACACCAGGTCTCCTGTTTATTATTGAAGCTCTCTGGGTGAATGTAAGACAGGACCTGTCAAGGCCTCAGGCACAGCCTGGGGTTTAAGTCTAGAACGAGCAAGTCTGGAAGTTGCAGGACAGTGCTGCAGTGCCTTGGCTGTGAGGCAGGGCGATTTACCCTCCCTGAACTCCAGGTACTTTGTCTGTTAAATGGAATTAATTCTAGCTTTTTTTTTTTTTTTTTTTTTTGGCCAGGGTTCTGAGGATTAGGGTTAATATGTATGAACTAGCTGACCTGACCTGAAGAGGCCCACATGAGAACAGATCCCTCCTCACATTTGTGTGTTCTGTTATCTGACTCTGTCACTTATGTGCAAGCTCCAAGGGAGGTCTGAATGAAAGTTCTTAAAAACAGAAGTAAAGCACAGTAGCGTGTTGGGGAGGGCATCTCTGTGGGTCCTCCAGGTAGCCAGGGGAGGGCGAGCAGAGCGTGCTTGCTGGGGACCCTCTGCTCCTGTGTCTTCACACATCCTCCACTTAGTACAGGAGCTCCCGCCCCACACACCACCTACGGGTCAGCTCTCAGTGTCTTATCCTTTAGAGAGTTTTTTAAATATGAGACAGAGTCTCTCATCTGGGTAAAAATTGTTTAAAAAAAAAAGAGAGAGAGAGAGACAGGGTCTCTGTCACTCTGTGAGTCGCATGATCATAGCTCACTGCAGCCTCAAATTCCTGGGCTCAAGCAATCCTGCCTCAGCCTCCCAAGTAGCTAGGACTATAGGCGCATACCACAATGCCTGGTGAATTTTTTTTTTAAGTAAAGAGAGGGTCTTGCCTTGTTGCCCAGGCTGGTCTCAGACTCCTGGGCTCAAGTGATCCTCCCACCTCAGCCTCCCACAGTGCTTGGATTACAGGCATAAGCCACCATGCCTGGCCTTTCTGATATATTTTATGCATAAAAAGACATCACACAGGCCAGGCGCAGTGGCTCATACCTGTAATCCCAGCACTGTGGGAGGCCAACAGTGGATCACAAGGTCAGGAGTTCGAGACCAGCCTGGCCAGCATGGTGAAACCCCATCTCTACGAAAAATACAAAAAAAGAAAAAAATTAGCCAGGCATGGTGGCATGCACCTGTAATCCCAGCTACTTGGGAGCCTGAGGCAGGAGACTTACTTGAACCTGGGAGGTGGAGGTTGCAGTGAGTCAAGATCGTGGCACTGCACTGCACTCCATCCAGCCTGGGCAACAGAGCCAGACTCTGTCTCAAAAAAAAAAAAAAGACATCACACCTATACTGCCTTCCCAGGATCTGAGAAGTCCGCTTTCTTTGTCACATTCTGCTTTTTGGAGTTTTTCTTCTAGCAAGTTCCCTTTTTCAGATTTTTTTCAGGAGTTGTGAAAAGGCTCCAGGCTGCAAAAGGAAAGGCATCATGTGTGCGGGCCAAGTTGGGTCATGAGACCCACTCTCAAAGCAGGAAGGAGGAATGGGAGGAGAGAAGGGAGGGGAGTTGCTGAAAGCAGGCTGTTTTCCACACAAAGCCCACAGGATCACCCATGCACCCTTCCCCAAGTAGTCCTAAGGTTGCCAGGAGTTAAGGTTTGGTTTTTGGCTTTTTTTGGAATGGGGGTGGTTATTTCACCATCATTCATGGTTATCATCCCTGTGCTTAACCAAAGAGAATAAGGTCAAATGCCATGCTGGGTCCAAGGGCAGGAGTTGCCACAGCCTTCCCTTTTCAGAGGCCCCTGCCCTCTGCAAGCTAGGAGTGGTCATCGGCATTGGCTTCCTGGACAGCCCATGCAGGTGGACGGGCTGGAAAGGCATCTGTAGTGCATTTTTCATCACCTCTGGTTATCCATTTGCCTGCCCTTGCCTGCCCAGTTTTAGTTAAAATATAGTGGCAATTCTAGTGGCTCTAAAAAGTGAGGGAAAATGATAACCTTTACAGGCCTCTGTTCTACTGCCATTCCAGTGTTTCTCCAGGGTGCCTCCCAACCATCTGTGCACATTTACCTGGATACTTGGTAAAAACGTGGATTCGTGGGCTCCCCTCCACTCTGGGCCTTCTGAATCAGAATCTGGGAGCAGAACCCAGAAATATACATTTTCAACAAGAATCCCAGGTGTACATTAAAGTTGGGGATCCCTGTTAAGCCGTGCAGTCGCTGTCTTCCTTCTCCTTCCCTCTCTGGTCTCCCCTCATCTCCTCTTATTGCCCCTCCTTCCTTGCTACCCCTGCTCACCTGTTTGCTCCTCCTTCCTCTGTCTTAATGCGGAGGGTCCAGAGTGGCTTCTCGGACTGTTCTTTGAACGTATTAAATTGTAGTCCTCTGGAAACTCAGCTAGGAAGAAAAAAAAAGTAAGTATGTATTTCTTATTTCCTTGCTTGTCTCCATTTCCATTTAAAAAAAAAAAAACAAAACAAAACCAGATAAAAAGCTGTCCTCTTCAAGCACCAGCTTTGGGAAGTGTATCCTTCCCATGGAGGCATCACGATTGCAGCTGCTCTTCCAATGTAGGAGATGGACCTGGGGTTGGAAACGCCCTTGTCTAAGGAAGCATTGCTGGTGTGACGTCCCAGGGAAGTCGGCCACCACCAGCCCCAGAGTAGTCACCAGCCTGGGTACCCTGGCTGGAAGGCACATGTGGTAAAGGCATTTGGGGAAGATGAGACTGATGGGACAGGAAGCAGTGGGGGAACGTGGGGTGGCAAAGTGGAGTGTTTGCATGGAGTTTTGGCAGGTGCCACCGGGGACCTGAACCTCTGCTTTTGTCTTTACAGCAACCAAAGGAAGAGACCAAGATGAATACAGAGGTGAGTTCTTTACACAGACCAGTTTTAAGGGATGCTTTTCTTACTGTGTCCTCCATTTCTCCTTTGCAGGGTCTCCATTCCCTTTCAGAAACATCAGCACAAACTTAAGAAAACTTCCCCTCTAGCCTACCGACGTGCACATGGTTCTGGGTGATGCAGGAAGAATTAGGTCCCTCTGAGTTCTTATCTATGTCTATCCGGCTTCATTCGAACTTACCCACTGCAGCTAATCCTGAAACAACACTCCAGAGCTCAAGCTGGCAGCTCAGGGTGTGGAGGGTGCCGGGTCCAGATCCCTGCTTTGTGTTATTCTGGAGATACCTTCTCTGCATTGTCTCCTTGGTGCTCTTCAGTTCCAGTTCTCTGATGGACGAAGGCGTCTAGCTTCTCATCCCTTTGTTTTTTCTTTTTGTTTTACCCATCAGCCCCTTCCTCTGTTCACTCCCTCCCAAGTGCAGCCTAGACCTTGGGGCTCATCCCTTCCACCACTGCTGTGCTGATGCCCACTGTGCTTTTCCCACTTGTCCTGTCCATCCACCACGGCAAACCCAGATGCTGTCCCCACAAGAGGGGTTCTTGGGCAAGTGAAACAGCCTTGTGCTGTTCGCAGCTGGCAGATGTCTCAACACCCTCATCTGGTGCTCAGCACCACCCACCAGGCTCCCTGTTGCTCTAGGCAGCTCCTTGCCAGTGCCCTGAACCCCCAGCTCCAGGCTTCCTCCCTCTACCTAAGCTCTGTCTTCCTCGAAGCTCCCCCTCACTCTTAGCATCGAAATCCCTTTTCATTCTACAGAGGAAAATGTAAACATTCCATCCGACGTCATCTCCCTCAATTCCTGCCTCTCCATTTGTCCTGTTCCTCCCGTCATAGTGCAAGGGATGTTTGTCAGTGAGAGTTCCAGGTTGTGAACACCAGAAAGCCTGACGTAATGTGGCTTTTTCCTGGAAGTCCAGGTGAAGGGCAGGCTTCAGGGCTGGTCGATCCTGCCACTCCGTGACCTCCTCAAGGATCCAGGAGCTTTTCATCTCTCTGCTCCCTATCCAGCTGTTGGTTACATGCTAGGGCAGGTCCCCTTGTGGCAGCAGGATGGCTGCAGTGGCAGTTGGGGCCATACACATTTGCATTCCCTTTCATCAGCAGGAAGAAGTGGCTTCCTGCAACTCCTTCAGAGGGGTGGGAGACTTTTTTTAAGCCCCATCAAATGTGTCCTTCGGTCGTATTGGCCAGCTTCAGGTTCTGGACCATAGTGTGTCTGCGGAGCAGGGATTTTGTGATTGGCTTCAACTACTCAAGCCCATCCTGGAGCAGCTTCCCCCCTGCCCCAGGCCTGGGTGTGGGAAGAAGAAAGGGGAAAGTATCCCTGTCTAGTATGAGACATCCCTGGTCCATCTTCATGCTGCTATAAAGAACTCCCCAAGACTGGGTAATTTATAAAGGAAAGAGGTTTAATTGACTCACAGTTCAGCATGGCTGGGGAGGCCTCAGGAAACTTAACAGTTATGGCCGAAGGCAAAGGGAAAGAAAGCAAGGCACCTTCTTCACAAGGTGGCAGGAAGGAGAAGTGCTGAGTGAAGGGGGAAGAGCCCCTTATAAAACCATCAGATCTGGTGAGAACTCTGTCATGAGAACAGCATGGGGAAACCGCCCCCACAATTCAGTTACCACTTCCTGTCTCCTCTCTCGACACAGGGATTATGGGGATTACAATTTAAAATGAGATTTGGGTGGGGATACAAAGCCTCTCCGTATCACCTGGTGACGGAGCACCCTTCTGCTCTGAAACGGCACACTCCGCCTGCACAGACCTTCCGCTGCCTCCTTCGTTACCTCCTTTGCCATCTGCATCAGTAACCTAACTCCCACTACCTCTTTCTCATCGATACTTCAAAATGCTTTCTTCAGAACAAAACACCACCGCCTCACATCTTGTCAAGCGACTACCTTTCTCATCCCCTGTGAGCAGACTTCTCAAAAGAGATACTTTCAGTTAATTTCTCCATTTTCTCTTCCTTGGGTCATTCTCAGCCTGTTGCAGTCTATTTTTGGGTTCCCCCCCCATATTATACTTAAATGAGTCTTGTTTATTTTGTAATAATGTAAATACATGTTCATAGTGCAAAACTCAGGCTACAGAATGGAAAACAGCCAAATGCAAGTCTCCCTATTAGTTATCTTAACCAGCCTTGCCCCGCTTGGGACTGACTTCTGGTAACCACTTTCTTGTGCCTCTGACCTCCTTATCTGAAGGCCTCTGTGGGTCTCCCAGTGGCTTGCTCAAATTCTCAGGATCTTCTAAGTTCTTTTTTTTGTTTGTTTGTTTTTTGTTTTGTTTTGTTTTTGTTTTGTTTTGAGACGGAGTTTCGCTCTTGTTACCCAGGCTGGAGTGCAATGGCGCGATCTCGGCTCACCGCAACCTCCGCCTCCTGGGTTCAGGCAATTCTCCTGCCTCAGCCTCCTGAGTAGCTGGGATTACAGGCACGCGCCACCATGCCCAGCTAATTTTTTGTAGTTTTAGTAGAGACGGGGTTTCACCGTGTTGACCAGGATGGTCTCGATCACTTGACCTTGTGATCCACCCGCCTCAGCCTCCCAAAGTGCTGGGATTACAGGCGTGAGCCACCACGCCTGGCAGGATCTTCTAAGTTCTAAAGAAACAATAGAAACTTTGCATTAATACTAAGCTTATATAGCCTGGCCCAGGAAGAGTTCCATCCGTCATCAGTGATCACTTCTGGCCTTTTCCTCTTAACCTTGTAAGAAGATTTCTAGACTTGGGTCTTCCTCTGCTGTTCCTTACATATCTTTTTATTTATTTATTTATTTATTTAGAGATAGGGCCTTACTCTGTTGCCCAGCCTGTAGTGCAGTGGCATGATCTTGGCTCACTGCAATCTCTGCCTCCCGGGTTCAAGCGATTCTGCCACCTCAGTCTCCCGAGTAGCTTGGATTAGAGGAGCGCCACCACGCCTGGATAATTTTTGTATTTTTAGTAGAGACAGCGTTTCAGTATATTGGCCAGACTGGTCTCGAACTCCTGATCTCAAGTCATCCTCCCACCTCGGCCTCCCTAAGTGCTGGGATTACAGGCAGGAACCACCACGCCCAGCTGTTCGTACACATCTGTTGCTTGGTGTCAGACTGCCCTCTCCCTTTTTCTGTCCAGTCCACTGCAGCCTGACTGTTCTCACTGCTCTACGTCTCAGGGAAGGTACCAGTGAGCCCCACATTATCAAATTTGGCAGAAACTTTTTCCTTAAGCATTTGACACTGTTGATCACACTTTTTTTGAAATGCCCCCTTGACACCCCAGGGTTTCTGCCTGTTTCTCAGGCCACTTCTCAGAGTCTGTCTTCAGCCCCTCCTCTCCCTACTCCTTGGGAGTCTGTGTTTCCCAGCACCCTGCCTGCTGCCCTAGGAGCTCATCTGCTCCTACAGCTTTTCTTGTCACTTGTGTGTTTGGGGAAGTCCCAAACGGATCTGTTCACATAGGCACTCCTCGGCTCCAGACATGTACATCCAGAAGCCTGTTACTCATCTCAGTCATAGCTGCCTCAGTCAGACCCCAGTCCCGTTAAACCCAGCCTGTTAAACCCAGGCTGGACTTGCTGCTTTCACTTGCCCCAAATCTGTTCCTCCTGCTGGGCCATCAGTGGGCCCAGCACTCCAGCCCCCTCACTCTGTTCCCACACACCAGCAGTCAGTGACCAAGACTATAAATCCTGTCATTGCTTTGATGTCACCGAAATTCATGTGACACTACACTGTGCCAGACTCGAGACCTGGCTTGATGGCTCTCATGGTAAAAATGTAAGTGTGGTACTAATGCCACACTTCTTGCTAAGTGAGACCACCATATCTTTCCAATCTGTCCCTTTCTTCCCCTACTTTTGGCCTTCTCATCACTTCCTCATTTACCTAATTCTTTTCTTCTCCTCCTTTACTTTCCTCACCCTCCTCTAGGTCATTCACTCTCCTTATTGGAAGGCGGGGGAGACCTCAGGCAGAGCGATGGTCCACACGCCCAGTTCCTGACACATTGCCTCTGTTGTGCTGTGCAAGGCCCTGCTCTCAGACTTATTTATTTTGATCCCTTTTCTCTCCATCCTCATTCTCACCCTGCCAAAGACAACTATGCCAATGAATTAAGTGTTTTCCCTTTTTATTTGTGTATGTTCGTGAAAAATTTTGTTTTTGTGCAAATACCTTCTAAATTTATAGACAGTAGGCTGGGCACCATGGCTCACGCCTGTAATTCTAGCACTTCGGGAGGCTAAAGCAGGCGGATCACCTGAGGTCAGGAGTTTGAGAACAGCCTGGCCAACATGGTGAAACCCCATCTCTACTAAAAATACAAAAATTAATCGGGCATGATAGCACATGCCTGTAATCGGGAGGCTGAGGCAGAATCACTTGAACCCAGGAGGCAGAGGTTGTAGTGAGCCAAGATCATGCCATTACACTCCAGCCTGGGCTTCAGAGTGAGACTCTGTCTCAGAAAAAAAAAAAAATTGTATACAGTAAAATTGACTCTTTTTTTTTTTTTTGGTGTACAGGTTTACCCGTTAAAAATACATGCGTAACAGTCACCCCAGGCTATTAAGATGTAGAACTTCACCCCAAAATATTCTCTTCTGTTGCCTCTTTATAGTCACAACCTCTCCTTGCTACTGACCCCTGGCAACATATATCATCTCCTGTGTGATATACTTTTCTTTTTTTCTGAGACAGTCTCACTCTTGTCATCCAAGCTGGAGTGCAGTGGTGTGATCTCGGCTCACTGCAACCTCTACCTCCCTGCTCAAGCGATTCCCCTGCCTTGGCCTCCCGAGTAGCTGGGATTACAGGTGTGAGACACCATGCCCAGCTAATTTTTGTTTTGTTTTAGTAGAGACAGAGTTTTTGACATGTTGGCCAGGCTGGTCTTGAACTCCGACCTCAAGTGACCCACCCACCTCAGCCTCCCAAAGTGCTGGGATTATAGGTGTGAGCCAAGGTGCCCAGCCTGACATCCTTTCAATGTACATAATTATATTTTATATCATTTATATCTCATTCTTCATTTTTCTGCATGTTCATGATATATAGTTAATGTGCTACACAGCAGCCCAAAACATGCATCCATTTAGTCTTAACAAAAAGCCTAGGGGCAAGATGCTATTATTACCTGTTTTGTAGCTGAGGAAAATGAGAAGTAAGTCAACTGCTCTAAGTCACAGGGGGTTAAGGGGCACAATGGGGACCTAAGCCTTGATGTTTCTGACCCGTGAATGCCTTTGTCCTTGTCTATATCTAGCTAATCCCGTCGATCCAGTTCAAATGTCCTTTGTACTCCACGAACAGTTTTCTCAGAGTCCTCTCTCGGGAAGTCATACCTCCCTCTTATGAATTTCCACTGTGCTTTACGGATCTTTTTATTTGTTACCTTCCCCTCCTGCTTTGACTGTAGCTGTCCAGGTGCCTCGCTCATCTTAGCATCCCCATGACATCTGGCTTGATGCCTCATGCATAGCTTATCTTCACTAAATGTCAGTTGACTAAATGATAGGATGAGTCAGAGACTGTTAAGTAATCTTCTAATGCAGTCCAGAGCTTGGGTGGGTCAGGGAAAATGCAGAGGAAGGAAATCATATAACAGAAAATTTCAAGCAAAACTTGCTGTGGCCCAGAGGCTGGCTGGAGGGAGAAAGCACAGAAGGACTGTCCACCACAGCTGGCCTTTGATCTGAGGATGTTTACTGAATTCAGGAATGACTCCAAGCATTTAAAGCTGGGTGCTACCAGGATTCCTAGAGCTACTGGCTTTTGCCCAGAAGTTCAGAGGACAGCTGTCAGGAGGAGTGGATGATTGGAATTTAGCACAGAGTGTGAAGATCCAGGGCAGGTGGGACAGCCAGGTTGAAATGCCTTGGGAATGCAGCTTGGAAGAGAGGATGGCCCACAGCTCAGGATGCTAGAGTCTTTGGCATAGAGGTGGTCATGGAAACCTTAAGAATAAGGGACCTCCGCACTCTGGAGATATGTGGGAGAGAGAAGAATAGAGGGATGAGGATTGAGCTTTGGGAAATATGCACATCTCTGGCAAAATGAAGAAAATGAAATGTGAAAAGAAAACCTCGGCAGCATGAGGTGAGAGAAGAAAGGAAGGAGTGAGTTTGAAGAAGGTCCAGGGAAGGGTTGCCCATGTCTGAAGCCCAGGAGCATGTGGTTGAGGAGAAGCCCTTGAATGTGGTGACGAGAAGGTATTGGATGACCCATGGTGAAGCAGGGAGGGACAGGAGTGAAAACCAGTTGCTGCAGGGCCAGGAGGGGTAAGAGGAGTCAGGGGGGCTTGGGGGCAGGGCAGCGGCGAGGGCAGCAGAGGATGCTTAGCACGGTAGAGGGAGATGGGAGTGAGCCAAGGCACTGTACCCTGCAGAGTTCTCACCTTGGAGCAGCCCTCTGACATCTACCTCTGTTTTCAGTGGTTGTTTATATTTAGATAATGAATACATTTGTGTGATTCTAAACTTCAAAGAAGGAAAAAAGAAAAAAGAATTTACTATGGGAAGCCCTCTTCCCTTCTATCCCTGTTTCCCAGCCACTCTGTTTTTCACGATCCCAGCAAGAGCACGTCGCCAGTTTCAGTGTTCCAGGTTTCTGGGCTGTCCTTTCAGAGAGATTATAAACACAGACAGGATCTTTTTCTTTGGCTGCTACCCCTCCTGCTACTACACAGACTCTAGCACACAGCACACACTAGTCTGTCTTTGCGTCATTCACCCGATAATCTGTCTTGGAGAACAGTCCCTTTCAATTCATAAAGGGCTTCCTTGTTCTTTTTTTTTTTTTAATAGCTGTGTAATACTCTATTTCACAAGTCCATCATAAATTTCATAGCCAGCCTGTTATTAATGACATACAGATAATTTCCATCTTTTGCTTGTTATAAGCAAGGCTGCAGTAAGCCTAAGTCACTTGACTTGTGTAGCTCTGTAGGACATATTCTTACAGTTGGATTTACCAGGGCAAAGTGCATTTGCATTTTAAATTATAATAAATATTTCCAACTTGCTCTCCATAAATTAGGTTTTTCTTACCCTCCTACAACGTACGAACATGCCTGTTTTCCCAGGCCAACCAATGTGTTATCAAACTTTTTTTTAATTCTTTCAAACAGTGGATGAAAATGACTAGCTTGTTCTGCCTGACTGATGGACTCTCCTTCCACCTTCCCAGCACCTGCCCTCATGCTTCACACCTTGAAGTTTTTATACAAAGATTTTACATTTTCTTCTACCCTCTTCATCTCAAAAAAAAATTTTGTTTCTACGTTGGCAAAGCACATTCTCTTAATCCTAAGTTTCTATGAACTCCATTTTCGTGTCTGGAGTGCCGAACACCAGTTTCTCTGGGTCCAAGGGTGGAGGCACAAGCTCACTCTGACTGTGATTTGGACTTGAGTGAGTTTTTGAGTCACTTTGCTGTGCTTATGTGTCCTTTTCTGCTGTCTCAAAACTGCTCCTGTTCTTTGTTCCTTAAATACTACCTCTATAGGGCTGTTTGTAAAGGCATTTTCCCAAAGGTTCAGGACAGCAGAGCACAGCAGACAACTGAAAATGGAATTATCGACATCCCAGTGTCTAGAAGTCCATTGCTCCCTCCTCCACTGGGCATTTCTCACTGGCTTCCCTCTCTGCAGACTTCAGCCTCTTGTTAACTTGTGTGCACTTTCGCTTTTCCTCTGCCTCCTACTGGTTCCTGCCCGCAAAGTTAGCTGCTACTACAATGTGGTCTAGCCATCTCTGATTGCAGTTTCCCCTCAGAACGCGCCGTCAACATCCCTCACATAATGAAGAGGCGCACATTAAAAGGCCTAACAAGTGATTTTTCTCAAAAATAAAGTTCTTCCCCTAAGAGGAACTTAACTATTAAGATACCAGTGTTTTCACTCGTATCTTTTTTTTTTGAGATGGAGTATGACTCTGTCGCCCAGGCTGGAGTGGCAGTGGTGCAACCTTGGCTCACTGCAGCCTCTGCCTCCTGGATTCAAGCGATTCTCCTGACTCAGGCTCCCAAGTAGCTGGGATTATTGGCACCTGCCGTCACCAAACCTGGCTAATTTTTTGTATTTTTAGTAGAGACAGGATTTCACCATATTGGTCAGGCTACTCTGGAACTCCTGACCTCATGTGATCTGCCCACCTCAGCCTCCCAAAGTGCTGGGTTTACAGGCGTGAGCCACTGCGCCTGGCCTCTCACCCATATCTTGTCCCTGTGTGTCAGTTTTGCAAGGCAATAATATCAAAACCAAACCCTAAAGCAGTTTATTAACTAATTAGTTCATTAACTAATTAAATTTTTAAAAGCAGTTTAGCTTATTTACAGATAATGGAGCTGTTTCTTAACCTTGTGGATTTTTTTTTTTAAGCTGGTTAGAAGCATATCCTGTTTATTGTCGGGAATGTAGTAATTCGGTAGTTAACCGTAAGAATGCCATCTATGTTTAATAAAGGGATTGCTAGTCTTCTTTTCTTGATTGAAAGGGAAACAAATATTAATATTTGATCATGAATATGTGTTTTGGCTATACAGATTTCTCCAGAGGCTGTCTTACTGCTTTCTGATAATTAGAAATTACAAAATTAAAAAAATAAAACTTGACTTGTAACCCAAAAAGGACTTACTTGGTGAAATTGTCAGTTGTCAGTTGGGCACTGTGGCCACTCCTTCCTGTACTCTTCCCTGACTTCCAGAAGAGAAGCCAGGAAGTAGGTCGTTCAGAGTCCCCTTTTATATGTGAAGTCCGCTTGTTAGAAGCACCCCCAGGAAGCTTGCAAGGTTGAAGAAAGAGAGGCTTTTACTCAGAGGGGACAGTTGCAGTCAGATGTGTAAGCCAAGGCCAGTCTATGGTTTAGCAGCAGTGTGCAGTCAGGTTCCATGAATCACTCTCCCAAGCTGCAGGCTGAGAGAGGCTGAGATTCTTTCCAGATATCCTGGCTTCTGGGCAAGCTCTGGAGAATCACTCCCTTCAATATTGAACTGTGTAACAACAGTACAAGGTCTAGGAGAAAAGAAATGGAAGTGTACTGTTATCAGGTTCTTTATAGTATATATGGAGTAGCGCATAATATTACTTTAAAGTAGACTGTAGTAAATGAAATATATAATATAAAAGCCTTAACTTTTGAAAAAGAGTTGCAGCTAACAGCCAACAAATGGGATAAAATGGAATCATAATAAATATTCTAATTAATCCAAAATAAGGCAGGAAAAGAGGGGAAAAAACAGATTGAACAAATCACAAGATTGCTATAGAATTTGGATGGAAACCCAACCATATCAATAATCACAATGTAAATTGTCTAAACATTTTAACTAAAAGGCAGAGATTGTTAGATTAAGTTAAAAAAAAAGCAAGACCTAATTGTATGCTGCCTACAAGAAACTAACTATAGATATGAAAACACATGCAGATTAAATGTAAAAGATTGGGAAAAAATGTATCATGCTAACACTGATCAACAGAAATTGGGAATGGATTTTTAATATCAGACAAAATAAATTATAGGGCAAAAAATATTACCAGGAATAAAAATGGTCATTTTAGAATATAAAGGGGTCAATTAATAAAAAGACATAACCATCCTAAACATGTATGTATCTAATAACATCCTAACCATACATGTATCTAATAACAGAATTTCAAAATATGTGGGTCAGAACTGATAGAACTGAAAGGAGAAATACACAGTTGTATACAATTATATTCAGATTTCACTATCCTCAATAATTGCTAGAACAAGGAGACAGAAAATTAGGAAAGATATGGAAGACCTGAACAACACAATCAACCAACTTGATCTAACAGACTTGTACACACTCCACCCAACAATTACAGAATACACAATCTTTTCAAGTGTGCACAGAACATTAACCAAGATAGACCACATCCTGGATCATAAAAACTCTCAAATCTGAAAGGATTCAAATCATTTAAAGAATGTTCTCTGACCACAGTGGGATTAAATGATAAATCAATAATAGAAAAATATTTGGCAAATCCCCAAACATTTGGAAGAAATTCTGGAGGAAGACAAGAGCAATGGGCACAGGAAGAGGGGCAGGGTAAGTGGGAAGTGGTGACAACTGGGTACAAAAGTGAAGGAAAGGGGCAAATCTGAGGTGACATTCATGTTTCTGTGCTCAGAGAAATCCAAGAAGTAAGCTTAAGGGATGCGTGAAGTTTGTTTTTGTTTTTGTTTTTTGAGACAAAGTCTCGCACTGTCACCCAGCCTGGAGTGCAGTGGTGCGATCTCAGCTCACTGCAACCTCTGCCTCCTGGGTTCAAGCAATTCTCCTGGCTTAGCCTCCCTAGTAGCTGGGATTAGAGGCACCCACCATCACACCGAGCTAACTTTGTATATTTTTAGTAGAGATAGGGTTTCGCCATATTGGCCAGATTGGTCTCCAACTCCTGACCTCATGATTCACCCACCTTGGCCTCCCAAAGTGCTGGGATTACAGGCATGAACCACAGTGTGCACCCAGCCATTTTTTTTTTTTTTTTTTTGAGATGAAGTCTTACTCTGTCACCCAGGCTAGAGTGCAGTGGCACAATCTTGGCTCACTGCAACCTCTACCTCCCAGGTTCAAGTGATTCTCCTGCCTCAGCCTCCCAAGTAGCTGGGATTACAGGTGCCTGCCACCATGCCCAACTAATTTTTGTATTTTTAGTAGAGGCGGGGTTTCTCCATGTTGGCCAGGCTGGTCTCAAACACCTGACCTCAGGTGATCCGCCTGCCTCAGCCTCCCAAAGGGCTGGGATTATAGGAGTGAGCCACTATGCCAGGCGCATGGAGGTAATTTTTGTCAGTTTTGATTATATTGAGTTGCTGTGTAACTTAAAAGTCAGTTTTATTTTTCATTGTAATACTGTTCAAATATAGCATCCAGCAGTGCACTTAAATAATATTTAAGATCCCACAGATCTTAAATGTGTAACTCAGAAGGTGGTAGTGAAGAGTAAAAGCTTATGGGTCGCAAGCTGAGTAAGGTGACTAATCATGGTTTGCCCATTTGCCGCCTCTGCCAGCATCTCATGAAGCAGCTGTGGCCTCTGAATGATTCCCAGCAGTATCAGATTCATGTGTCTGCTGGAAGAGGGACTCAGGGAAGGCAGAGGTGCCAGGCCAGGGGCTGGGTCTGGCTTAATGAGGAAAGCCTCTCATTATTGGAGATGGGGCAGTAGAAGTGGAGAGCCAAATGGGGGGAAATTTTCTGTGGGTGCTCAGGTTTTCAACCCAAAGACATGATGAAGCACCTTCAAGAACAGGTTTTGGTGGGACTGACTTTTCTCCAGGCCCCCGTTTTGGGGAATATCTCATCCCATCCTGATGCCATGGCTTCCTGTGTGTTGTGGGCTGGCTTTCATTCTTGCTCATCAGGACACTGCCAGCTCCTTTGTTTTGCTGTTCTCCACTCAATATCTGCAGTATTTTCAAACCCCACCTTGGTCCCTTCTGTTTCAGCCCGAGAGGAAGTTTGGAGTGGTGGTGGTTGGTGTTGGCAGAGCCGGATCCGTGCGGATGAGGGACTTGCGGAATCCACACCCTTCCTCGGCGTTCCTGAACCTGATTGGCTTTGTGTCCAGGTGGCTTGCACTGGCTTTGTGCTTCATAATTTATGGAAAGCCCAGTGAGGCAGATTAGCCGCAGGACATGGAGATTTTCCAGACCCAGGGCAGGGAGAGCCCTCTCCAGGCCGAGAACTGTGCTTAGGATCAGCCCCACAAGATCTCGGGTTGGGATGGGTCTGGGAGCTGAAGCCTGCTGGGCCTATAGCTGGGATGCACAGTAGGTCAGCCTGGGGAGACTGCAAAGGCAGAGGCAGGAGGGTGAGCTCAAGGCTGACAGAGAATGGGCACAGCAAACACATGGGGCTTTGGCCTGAAAGGCTTTCGGTGTTCACCAGGTAATCCTGACATAGTCATCGTGACTGCCATCCTAGGTGGTCCTGGGATCTACATATGATATTTCCTTCTGGGTAGCGTTATCAACCCCCAGTTTGCAGATAAGGAGGCTGAGCCACAGAAAGGTTAAGTAACCTGCCTGAGGTCACACAGCTGGAAAGTCTAAGAACTGAAGCTGAGCAGAAGTCTGATTCCAAAGCCCATCTTTTAAACACCATGTGTTCTTTTCCCATTGGTAATTTTGAGCCTCACTTTATTTTTTTTTTTTTAGACAGGGTCTCACTCTGTCATCTAAGCTACAATGCAGTGGTGCAATCACAGCTTACTGCAGCCTTGACCTTCTGGGGTCAAGTGATCCTCCAGCCTCAGCCTCCTAAGTAGCTAGGACTACAGGCACAAACCACCATGCCTGGCTCATTTTTTTTTTTAATTTTTTGTAGATGTGACAGGGTACCCTTATGTTGCTTAGACTGGTCTCAAACTCCTGGGGTCCAGTGATCCTCCTGCCTCAGCCTCCCAAAGTGCTGAGATTACAGGTGTGAGCCACCAAACCCAGCCTCCCCCTTTTCTTTAAGAATTCATTTATCTCCAGTCAAAATCAAACTTATCACCTTGTTTCTTCTTCCCTGCCCCATGCTGAACTCTTCCACTCACTCCTATACACAGACACACACACCACTCACTAGATTAATCCTGTATAACATCATTTGTCAATATTAACTGTGAACTAGAGGCACCAGAATAACCCTGTGTAGCATCATTTATCCATATGAATTATGGACGAGGTGCAGGCACTGGTCTGGGCCTGAAGACACGGCAAGGAGTAAGTTAGGCAACTCTTTTTCTAGTGCTTTAGAGACATCAGATGAATATTTACACAAAGCATAAGTGACAATAGCAATGGTCCATGCAGAAGTTTTTTCATGTTTTCATTCATGGGACCATCCTCTACCCACCTGTCTCAAAACGTGACCCCACTTTTAAAGATTTAAAATGGGCTTTGGGGCACCAGAAAGACCCAGAAGTGCTAGAATCTGCCCTTGAGCAGCCTCCTCCCTATAAGATTCCAAGGGAGCTGCACACAAATGGTAGAGCATAGTTAAGATCAGGCAGCTCCGTAACCCCCATCGCACCCCTACGTGGAGCTGGGACCAGGCACAGCACTTGGGCTCAGGGCTGAAGTAGGCCCTTTCCTTTTCCCTTAACCCCGAGTCCTCCGCCAGTTGGCTTCCAGGATCAGCTCAGTGGGAACACCTACACTACCCAGGCTGTGTAGGAGGATGGCAGGTCACACCCCTGCATGACGGCATCCTGCCAGTACTCACACTGTTTCCCTCTTCACATACCCGTCCCCTCCTGACCTACCTGCTAAGTTCTACCACCTCCCCAGGAAGCCTTTTCTTATCTATTCCTTGCCCTCCCTGAGTCTCCATCTCCTGCTTCCTCCAGGTACCACATTTCCCCTGGTAGTCTTGTGGTGGTGTGATGTACACATGCGGCGAGGATTTTAATTTGTTCTCCATGATTTCTCCTAGAGTTCCTAGCACATAATAGACAAACAATAAGTATTGCTGAAATTGAGCAATGTAGTTTGGGTGGCCCCATTAGAAGCAACCTAGCATAATACCCTTTGGGAGCCAAACTTCCCCAAATGCTTTCTGCCTGCTGCAGCTCAGCTGGAGCTCTGAGCTGGCTGAGGGCCTCCTGCTTGCTGGCTGTCCCACATTTCCCCATGACTGCCCCCCTTAGAGGGCTACTCTCCTGCCCCAGTATCTATTGGGCAGTGTACGGATTGCCAGGGCTTTGGCTCTTCAAACACTGCAGCTCCTCCATGCTCTTGAAGAGTCAGAAGGCCTTGTGTTCCCCTCCTGCCTCTGCTCCTGGTTAGTCAGGCTATCACTGCCTATAGTGCTAGGCACTGTAGGAGAAATCATAGAGAACAAACCAAAATCCTCAACTTCCAATGAGCTTAGTCTGCTACAGGGAGGAAGACACACACACATCACACACGTGTGCATACATACCATTGGGCTTTGTTAGCTCAGCTATAAAGGACCTTGAAGTTGGATGGCAGTTTGCATGCTTAATGTGTT